CATTTGCTATTTTTATTAACCCTTTAAGTTTCTTGTTTCGGGAAAAAGGTCGCTTAAAAAGTTGCCTTGCTATTAAATAATAAAGAAAAAAAGTGTATTTTAATTTAAAAAAAAGTTTTAAACAGTTTTTGTGTTCGCGCCTTGGATGGTTCCTAAATGGAGTCTTTCCATCACGACAGCCCACTTTACAGGGGCATCCCATCCCTGCGATGGCAGCTTTTCTGTATAGGTTCGTTGNGCGCCAGAGAAGATGTTGTTGGTGGTACACCACGACAGGAATCTGCTGGCAAGGCACGCCGAGAAGGTTTTGCCGAAGGTGTTGGAGAGCGCAATTGGTCTCCAGTTGTCGATTTGATGTTGGTCGCCACGCTTGTGAATAAGAATTGTGTTAGAGTGCCTCCAGTTGGAGGGGATGTGTAGGAGACGAAGAGCGGCGTTGAAAGCGCTGCACAAGATGATGCCCTTTGGGTCGGTCTTGAGCCAATGATGGTACCTGAGGCCATCTGGTCCAGGCGCCGTGTTGTGGCTTCGTTGGAGCCTTGTGCTGACTTCGGCGGGAGAAAATGCAGCCACTAGAGGGTTGTCGTCGGTTGGCTTGTGGGCTGTAGGGAGAAAGGAAGGATAGGACCCACATGAGTGTGGGGAGTTAGCATAGATGGTGGTGAAGTGTTGTTGCACCAGACTACTGTCTATGCGACAGTAGGTAGGCTGTCCATCAGTAATGATAGAGACAGCTTTAGTCCTGTTTCTCCGGTATAGGCGTTGGATTAGCCTTGCGTCATTGGTGATGTCCCTTGAGGGGTGGTCGCCATTCAGAGAGGGGCGGTAGGGCGACACGTTACAGATGTTATGGGCGAGTGTGACCAGGTCGTCCACCATTTTGTCCAACATGTCCTCGTCGAGCGCGACGCTGAATCTGTCGCACCAGGCAGTGACCCAACCAGGTGCGGGCTGAGAGTCCATCTGGTTGGGGGTGCAAGGAGGCGCCACAGGGGCCGTAGTCGGAGGAGTGCACGTCGTGGCATCAGTGCGGGCGTTCCCGGCCAGAGGCGACACAGTGTCTGGTCCAGGGGGTGGCAGTTGGACCGCTGGAGGCGGAGACGGTGGTGGAGGAACCGTGGGGGGTGTAGACTGGTGGATTGGAGCAGCAGGAGATGGACGGCTGGCCGGTGATGGAGTGGTGACACCTGTAAAGATAGGACTGCTGGGGGCAGGTGCGAGGGCAGGAGCAGGTGATGGCGGTGCAGGGTGCACAATGGCTTGGCCACTGGAGTGTGTAGTCCTTCTGGTGCGCTTGCTGGTGGAGCTTGACGGACGGTTGTCAGTAGGCTGCACACTGGAGCTCGGAGTGGAGTTGTTGGGTGGGCGATCGGTCCTTCGTTGATAAGCCTTCCTCGGCCTGAGGGGGATGCGGATGCGACGGCTCACTGGTGGAGGAGGGGCTGGAGGAGACAGCGCCTCAATGCATGAGCGGCAGGAGTCGGAGCGCTGTTGGTGGTGTTTAAGCGTCTTCAACTTGTCCTGGATAAGACCGCAAGCTCGGCATTTGAAAGACAGCGTGACATTGTGTTCACGCTAAAGGTGCGTAACCAGTCCCGCGTGGTCGATGTATTGGCGCGGGATTGGCAGGCAAAGTTCGCATGGGTGCGGTGGCTGGAGTGGAACTAGCACAGAGATGTTAGGCGCAGCCATCGAAGATCAAATGTGTAGAGTGGTGGAGAGGAAAGGAGCGGAAGTGCCCCCCGGGGTGCAGAGCAGCCAACCAAGGAGGGGCAGGAAGGGGAAGAAAGAAGGTGCCCTCAGGGAAACACCACGGGCCTGGGGGGCCACGGGGTGTCCAAGCGGAACACCGGGAAAAGCTACCAGCCTTAGCTGGTAACGATAGACAGAAGTGTTGCCAGTCGAGCAGCGAATACACGGTGCGTTTAAATTGTGCAGGCCGCTCTTCCGGCGGAAGAAAGAAGAGTAGAGGAAAGAGAAGGGAGTAAAACCAAAAATACTTACCCAGATGACTGGGGAGCGATGTGGGGCTCGAAATCCAGTTCTGGTCCTAATTTAGGCGAAGATCATCAAGCTGATAAGAACAGATTTGAAAAGCGTTTATTAAGAAAACAATTATTTACAGTGAGATAATATTTTAGGCAATGATAAACAGGAGTATCCTAAAGGATACCAGAGGACACGCGAACATGGGCACGTATGCCAGCTAGAAATATTTACAGTATTATATATTTTAAAGTACCGGACATGGGCACGTGTGCCAGCCAAAGAGAGGGGCATGTGCCCGTACAGATAAGAACGCGGGAGGGTCGCGGACATGGGCTCGTATGCCAGCCATAAAAGAACACAATAGGAGTGGAGGATACGCGAACATGGGCGCGTGTGCCAGCAAATACAATACAGTGTTATTGTCGGGGTTGTGTATGCTGCTGCTGCTGGTAGCCTAGATGCCGACGGTAAATGTCATTACTCCAGCGGATGGTATCGCTGACCATCAGCTGTTTCATCAGTTTAGAGTATTTCTTGCTGATGCCCAGGCGCTGGAGGGTCTCTTCATTCGAGTGGTCGTAGCCGCCCAGAGCGCCGACGATGAAGGCACTTATGTGGGTGTTATAGCCCTTCTGGCGAAAGTGCTGCACAAGAGAATTATATTTGCTCACCTTTTCATCGCGGGCAGTCTGGAAAGCCGTGGGTCCGTTCTCAAATGGGACAGTTATGTCTACTATGGTTGCTGACTTCGAGGGCTCGTGAATTATCACCAAGTCCGGTCTGCAATTTTCGCTGAAGCCAGGAACACGTTGGTTTATGAGGACTTTAGCATCTTTAGGCTGGAAGGCCTTGACGATCCGTTGCAGGATAGCGTTATGTCGCTGCGTTATCAAATGGAAGTTGGGCGGGCAGTGGCATAGAACATGTGCTAAAGTTTCTCTGGCGTAGCCACATCTTCTGCAACGTTTTGATTCATTTCCAAATCGTTTATGGTTGCGAAGGGCAACCACACTTAACTTCGCTCGGTGGATGAAGAACCAATCCGTAAAGCGGGTGAAGTTGCCGTTGTTGATGAAGTGATTGCTCACTTCGCTGGCCGCTGTGACCTGGAAGGCCTTACCTTGATCGGGTTTTGCTGATAGCCTCTGTAGGTGGAACATCTTTAGGAGGCTGCATAGGGTGCGTTGGCATGATTGGGCGCGTATGATGTTATCCCCAGGGGAGATTGTCGGGTCCGGTAGTCCACTCAAAGTCTAGTTGTTTCTTTAGGCGTCTGGTCGCCATCCTTAGCCTGGTCCATGTTGAAGTTATGTCTTTGCTGGGGAGTCCAAATTCTGCCTCCATACACCCGTTGAGGTATTGGCATAGGTCTGCAGTGATGGGGTGTCTTCCGATGCGTTTTCTGACAACATCTTCCAGAGCACCCAGAGCAATGCAGGTGACTTGGGGGTCCCTTGACTGAAAGAGATATAAAGCATGAGTAATTTGGGAGATGTCAGAGAGTTGACTAGTGGGGGTGACATTGGCGCCGCCCTGTTTGTACGGGAGGTATATGACCTCCGGGCTAGCGCGTTGGGGAAGACCCAGCCATCTTCTGAGGGCGCGTTTGAGGGTGCGATCCATCTTGTCCAATGTCTTCTTTGGAGTGGTGCCATTGGTAAGACAGAAAGACAGTTTAGGAATCACAAAGGTGTTCAGGGCGTCGACTTTTTGCCATGGGGCAAGTCTGGAAGAGTCCAGCTTCTCGATCATGCGCAGAATACCGTCGGTGGTGGCGACCTCTGTGTCGCAGCGGGAAAAGCCGGTCGGTACTCCGAGATGACGATAGGCGTCCGTTTCCCTGAGCACAGGTAGTTCTTGCTGTTTGAGAAAAAAGATGTTAGCGCCTGCAGCGTGCGACTTACCCAGGACGGCAAGGGTGCCGCATTTCGTGTGGTTAAATGAGATCCCTGCCCAGTCAGTCCATTCTGCGATGGAGTTCAGTTGTTCTTGTAATCCCTCCTTGGAGCTGCTAACGAGCGCAATGTCGTCGGCATAGGCAAGCACTTCAATTGGGCAACCGTGGAGTTGGTAGCCCTTCCCTAAGGCCTGGACACGCCGTATTGCAGGTTCCATTGCAAGAATAAACAGGAGAGGGCTGATCGGGCAGCCTTGGGAATACTCTACAGTGTCAGTTATTTTAAAGAGTATAACTGGGAAAAACTGCTACCAGCTGTCAGTATTACTCGTCTTTTAGGACCAAATTGGGATCTTTATGTAATGACCACCCTGGCTTTCCTTCTAGGCATAATTGTATATTTTAGAAGGATTCCCCAAGGTTGACCGATTTTTATTTTTCACTTGAATTTCCCATGTACAGTAGTGGGATGTTTTGTATATTTATGGGGAAGTTGTCCAACAAAATCTGAGAAGAAAAACTGCAGTCCCTCCAATAAAGATGTGACAGAGAAGAAAGCAAGAATTGTGAAATTACAAGTTTAAGTGGATGCAGAATATCCTCTAAAATTTAGATTTGCATAAAACTTGGAAATGTGGATAATTTGGGCGTCAAAAAACATTGACGCCCGAGTCCATGGAGATAGGCCTAGTGTAGCCAGAATTGGTGCGGACGCATGTGGAAGCGCCATCATAGAGTTCTTGCAGGACCTCAATTGCGTCTTGGTGGAGTCCGTGCCACCTAAGGGACTCCCAGAGGGTTTGGTGCGGGATGTTTCCGAAGGCATTGGCTATGTCTAGCCACGCCACAAAGCATTCTTTTTGCCTCCTTCTAGCATCTTGTATTACCGACTTCAGTATGAAGTTGTGCTCCAGGCACCCTTGGTAGTTTAAAAAACTCTTTTGGGAGAGGGTGAGGCGATCGTTGTTGTTACACCACTGGAGCAAGCGGTCGGCAAGGCACGCCGTGTACAGCTTACCCAAAGTGTTGGATAGGCAGATAGGCCTCCAATTCTTCAGGTTGGTCACATCACCCTTCTTGTGGACCAGGACGGTGGACGAAGTTTTCCAATCCCTTAGGACATAGCCAGTTCTGGAAACAGCATTGAAAATGGATGAGATAATCCTACCTTTGGGGTCCACCCTTCTCCAGTGGTGGTAACGGATGTTATCGGGTCCTGGAGCCGTATTGTGTCCCTTAGAAATCCGAATTGCCACCTCTTGCGGCGTGAAGGGGTCCTCGAAAGGGTTGTTCGTAGTTGGTGGAGTGAGGCATGTCGCAGGAACTGGAGCAATGTTGTCGGATGGAGGACGTTCGTACATTTGTTTAAAGTGGTTGTATATGGTGGAGGAGTCAACGTCACAATACCTTGGGGGGCCACCCACAGCTCTGTCAAAGGCGCGCTTTCTGTTGGCCTTGTATAGGCGTTGTAGTTCGCCGGCGTCTGAACGAGGAGGTTGGCGTGGCATGGGATTCGGTCGTCGGGGACGAGACGGCTTCCGTGGGCTCTGGATGCTGCAGATCTGGTGAGTGAGGTTGAGAAAGTCTTTGAGGACAACTTCCAGCATATCTTCATCGATGACAGAGTCGAAGCGTGACATCTAGGCACTAACCCATGACGGGGATCACCTTCACTGTGCTGGCTGTCCTGAGGAGCTGAGTCGTCGTCAGGGACAGGCGCTGGGCTGGGAAGCTGTGGTTCGGGAACTGGTAAAGAGACACAAGTGGTTATCGGATGAGTAGGTAAGTTACCTTCGTCCTCAGGAGGAGGGTGCTGAGCTGGAGGCGTACGATCAGTAGTTGGATAGGTGGAAAGGACTGTCCTGATGTTGGGAGCAGCAGCAGGGCTGGTGGAAATCACAGGGGGTTGCTCCAGGGAATGGGCACCCCTTGGTTGCTGAGCTTCATCCAGGCGTGGCCAATTTGACCTTGTAGTCCTGCTGCGGCGAGTCGTAGGTCTGATAGGAGTTGTAGGGGAGGCAGTAGTAGACACATCACTTTCAGAGGCAGGAGATTGTGTGGATCTTGGTCGCCTAGCGGAGCACTTCTTTCTGGGCCTACATGGAATACGTCGACGCACTGCAGGTGGTGGAGGCGGCGGGAGAGGTGGTGTGGCAGCCTCGATACTTGCTTTACAGGCTTCTGACTTGGTTTGGTGTAGTTTCATAGCCTTAAGCTTGTCGAGGATAATGCCACACGCCCTGCACTCAAAGATGAGTGAGGAGGCGTGCTCACGCTTGAGGTGTCTGACCAAGCCAGCATGGTCAGAATACTCACGTGGGATGGGAAGACATGGTCTACATCCAAACGGCGGGCGAAGAGGGACCAAGAGAGTTTCCTCAGGCATGGTGATCAAATGTGTAGGGGGAAGATAGAAGGGGCGGAAATGCCTCCTGGGGTGCCGTAGGCAACCAACCAAGGAGAGGCAGGAAGTGGAAGAGAGAACTACTGCTCAGGCAGGCCTGCGCAGTAGAAGGAAGCCACGTTGCGTCGTGAACAGAGTTCACGCCGCGATAGAAAAGTGGTTGCTGGTTAGGCAGCGAATACACTGTGCGTGTAAACAGTGCAGGCCGCCCTTCCAGCGGAAGTAGGAAGAAGTGTAGGAAAGAGAAAACAGTCAAAAAACACTTACCAATCCGTCGGGGAGCAGTTGGCTCGAAGTCCGAGGGTCATCGTGGCAGGGCAGGAACAGGCTTAATTACTGACAATCAAGCTGATAAGAACAGATTTAAAAAGCCTTTATTATAAATCAAAAATTAATTATTTACAGGCGTGACTAAGGCAAAAAGTGCATTGCTGCAGTAGAGTTAGTTATAAAGAATAAGTCATTGCGACATGGGCTTTAAAGTTCCAACCAGATATATACAAATTTGGAATATGTTATCGCGACATGGGCATTTTGTTTGCCAACTAGTGGTGTAGATACAGTGAAGGGGTGTTAGATTATTGCGTTCCATGGGCTCAATGCCAGCCAGTATGTACAGAGTTATTTGCGCGTATTTTAGGTATATATTTACATGGGCTCTATGCCAGCCAATATATACAATGTGTCGCCGGTTGGTAAAAGATTATAAGTTTACCCTTGGTGCAGATTGGGGTTGTAACTGGTTGCGTTGTCCGTTGTTTTGCCGTGGTTGGGCTGGGCGTCTGGGGCAGCTTCCCAGGTGCAGGCGGTATATATCGTTACTCCAGCGTATGGAGTCACTTACCATCAGCTTACGCATCATGATGGAGTACCGGCGGTTGATTCCCAGGCGTTGTAATACTGACTTGTTGAGGGGGTCATAGCTGCCTAGTGCCCCTATGATGAAGGTGTTGAAGTAAGTGTCATATCCTTTGGCGCGGAGATGTTGGACGAGGCCGTTGTATTTTCTCTCCTTCTCGTCCCTCGCAGCGTCGAAGGCTGGGCGCCCGTTCTCGAACGGCGTTGTGACGTCGATGACTGTTGCCGCTTTGGATTCCTCGTGTAGGATGGTGAGATCTGGGCGACAGTTCTCTGGATACCCTGGCACTCGCTGATTGACTAAGACTGTGGCTCCTCTTGGTTGAAATGCCGCCACTAGTCTATTTAGTACTGCGTTGTGACGTTGGGTAATTAACCTGAAGTTTGGTGGGCAGTGGCATAAGATGTGGGAGAGAGTTTTGCGGGCAAAGCCACAGCAGCGACAAGTTTTTGATTCGTTGCCGAATCTCTTGTGTCCGCGAAGAGCCACTACACTTAATCTAGCCCGGTGAATGAATTGCCGGTCTGAAAAGCGTGTGTAACGGCCGTTGTTGAGGAAGTGGTTACTAGCCTCGTTACTGGCCGTTACTTTGTAGGCTTTACCTTGATCGGGCTTTGCTAGCAGTCTTTGGAGGAGATGATGTTTAAGGAGGCTGACTAGCGTTCCCTGGCATCCTTTAGTGCGGATAATGTTGTCCCCTAGAGCGATAGTTGGCGTGCTGTCTGGTCCTATGGTCCATTTGATGTCGATTTTCTTGCCCAGTCTTCTGGTAGCCATTTGCAGTCGAGTCCACATAGACGTGATGTCTTTGGATGGGTTGCCCAGGTCCCCTTCCATCGAGCCGTCTAGGTAGCGGCAGAGTTGCTCGTTGCTGGGTTGTTTGGCGATTCTGGTGGCTACTACGTCCCTGAGTGCTCCTAGTGCTCCTAGTGCTATGCTCGTGATGTGGTTGTCTCTAGAATTAAAAAGGTATAAGGCATGACATACCTGTGCTATATCTGCAAGCGAGCTGGCCGGTGTAACGTTGGCTCCTCCTTGCTTGTAGGACAGGTAGACAATATCTGCACTCGCACGTTGTGGTACGCTAAGCCATCTCTTCACATGGCGCTTTAGTGTCCTGTCGATTTTGTCTAATACCTTCTTTGGGGCAGTCCCTGTTGTCAGGCAAAAGGTCAACCGTGGCATGATGAAAGAGTTCAGAGCGTCAATCTTTTGCCACGGTGCCAAGTATGAGGCGTCGAGTTTGTTTACATCACGTATGACACCTTCCATGGTGGCCGACTCGGTGTCGCATTTTGCGAACCCAGTTGGGACCCCAAGGTGTTTATAGGCGTCCTCATTGCCTAGGCATGAGAGCTCTTCATTGTGGAGGGTGTAGCTGTTGGTCCCGGCGGTGTGCAGTTTTCCTATAACAGCCAGAGTGCCGCATTTGGCGTGATTGAACCGAATTCCGGCCCAATCCGCCCACTCTGCGATGGAGTTGAGCTGGTCCTGAAGGCCCTTGCTGCTATTGCTGATAAGAGCAATGTCATCAGCGTAGGCTAGTGCACTTACCGTCTGTCCATGGATGCTGTATCCATTGTTGAGTGATTGGATGCGTCTTAGGGCTGGTTCCATGGTTAGAATGAAGAGCAGGGGGCTGATTGGACAGCCCTGCCTGACCCCTGACAGCATGGCAATGGGGTCTGTGTGACCCGTACAGGTGCGGACCCTGGTGGTGGCGCCGTCATATAGTCGCTGTAGAGTGGAGATTGCATCTGGGTTGAGGCCGTGCCACTTGAGTGACTCCCAGATGACACTGTGGGGGACGCTGCCAAAAGCGTTCGCAATGTCCAACCAGGCGATGTGGCATTCCTTCCTGGTACGCCTGGCATCCTGGATTACCGTTTTTAGCAGGAAGTTATGTTCGACACATCCCTGGTAATGTAGGAATCCCTTTTGGGATGTGGAAATACGGTCGTTGTTGTGGCACCACTTCAGCAGTCTATCCGCTAGGCAGGCTGTGTAGAGCTTACCTAGCGTGTTCGATAAGCAAATAGGTCTCCAATTACGGAGATCGGTGCAGTCACCTTTTTTGTAAATCAACACCATGGTGGATTCCCTCCAACTTGTCGGGATGTAGCTGATCCTAAGTACCGTGTTGAATATGGCCGCCAAGATGATCCCGTTGGGGTCGATGCGTCGTCAATGATGATACCTCATTATATCCGGGCCGGGGGCAGTGTTGTGACCCTTAGCAATTCGTGAGGCTACTTCTTCCGGTGTAAATGGAATGTTGAGCGGGTCACTTGTGGCCGGGAGCTGGTCTGATGTGGCAGGAACCGGTGTGGTGGTCGTTTGCGGGCTGCATTCGTTGATGGATTTAAAGTGCTGCTGTACTATGGTCGTATCAACTTGACAAAATCGCGAGCTTCCACCTAGAATGTGATCAAAAGCACGTTTTCGATTAGTTCTGTAGAGGCGTTGCAGTTCACTTGCCTCTATTTGTCGAGTCGATGCATTGTTGGTAGTGTTCCTGTTGGATTGCCGCGGGCGTTGGATATCACAGATTTCGTAGGCCAAGTTGATGAAGTCAGCGAGAATTCCCTCCAACATGTCCTCGTCTTGTGCTGCCTTGAATCGTGATGCCCATGCCGTAACCCATTGGGGGGGGTCCATCGTCTGGTGTAGGTGCGTCTGGGGCCTGTTGTGGTTGCGCAGACGGCGGATCCTGATTGAGTTCTACTGTAGGTTCTCTTTGATGTTGTGTCGGCGAGGGCACTGGAGAGGCTGGGCTTGCGGTGGCATCTCTTAGGTGCGGAGAGCTGAGTGTACAAGGATTAGAAGAGGACATGGGTGTAATTGTCCTACCTGATGAAGTTGTAGACATTGTTGGCTGCAGTGTTGGCGTGATCGGTAGCTGCTGTTCACAATTGGACTGGGGTCTTGCAGAGTTCTTGGTTTTCTGTCGACGTTTTCTACCGTTGGGCGTGGACTGCACTTGCGCAGGTGTTATGCCTTGGCTGGGCCCACATGTGTCAGGTGATGGCGTGGCTGGCGCACTAGGTGTGGGTTCTTCCTCGGCGATGGGTTGGCACGACCTCGTGGTTCTTCTTCTTCGTGGTGCAGCACGTCTGGTCGGTGGTGACGGGGAGGTAGAGTTCCAGGATGCATCGCTGCTCAGAGGGGTCGGCGCTGGTTTCGACGCTTTTTTGGCGTATGGCTTTCTTGGCCTCGTGGGAATGCAAACCTTTTTACGGTCTGCCGGGAGTGGGGGCGGAGGCGAGCAGGCCTCTATCCTCACACGGCAGTCATCGGCCTTGACTTGGTGAGCCTTGATCACTTTCAACTTATCATGAGTATACCCGCAGGCACGGCACTCGAACCGAAGGGTTGTACCATGGATGTGCTTTAAATGCTTGACCAAGCCCGCGTGGTCCGCATAATCGCGGGGAATCGGTGAGCACAGCTGGCATCAGTGCGGTGGGTGTAAAGGAACTAATACAGTAAGTTCAGACATGGCGGTGAAGATCAAACGTGTAGAATCAAGGATAGATAGATAGTGGGTGAAGCGCCCCCTGGGGTGCAGAGCAACCAACCAAGGAGGGGCGGGGAGGGGAAGAAAGAGGGTGTCCTGGGTGAAGCACCACGGGCCTCTCAAGCGAGAACCACAGGGTGTCCAAGCGGAGCACCAGAAAGGCTACCAGTCAGAACTGGTGGCGATAGGCGAAAGTGTTGCCGGTTGAGCAGCGAATACACAGTGCGTTTAAACCGTGCAGGCCGCTCTTCCGGCGGAAGAGAGAAGAGCAAAGGAAAGAGTAACCAAAAATAAAAGTATACTTACCCAGACGACTGGGGAGCAATGTGGGGCTCGAAATCCAGGTCTGGAGCTTGTTTTACTGAAGAACCATTAAGCTGATAAGAACAGATTTAAAATGCTTTTATTAATAATAAATTCCAAATA